TTCTATAATTGAAAGAAATCACTAACGGGTTCATAGAAAAGGATTCTTCCTTTTGGGATTAAATTACTAAAAAAAATGCATCAATACATTCCTCACATCTTTGAGGCCTAAGGAGCAAAATATATCAAACTGATAAAGTTTTTTATGAGCAGTTTCCTTTGTCTGGGACATTTTCTCAAACCCTTTTTTACATGTTGATATAAAAAATAAAAAAAGGCGCCTTACCTTCCCATCAGGGTGAGTAATGACCTCCTGGGGTGGATCTAGTTCTTTAGCTTCAAAGCTTTCTTGGTTTTTTGGCACTAGATCAGTTTTCTGTCAAAGAAAAAAGCAACTATATCTTAGAGTCAGAGATCATGACGGAAAGAAGTTCTCCTTTAAATGCTTCATTTATATCAGAGGTAAATAACAGCCACTCACTGCAGAGCGGTCCTGCAGAGGCTCCCAGCTCTGGTCGGATGGTTTTTCTTGGTTCTTATACCCGGATCTTAGTTTTTCATCCACCTTTCTGGCAGGAAACACTGAAGAGGAGGAAGATGAAGAAGATCCTGAAGCAGCCGGCCTCCTCAGGCTGCTCTTCATCCCTGCTGATAATATAAAAAAACCTGAGTGTCATTCTGGCTGCAGAAACGTTTTATTGTGCACAAAAACCCCATAAACTCCTAACTTCTTCAGAACTCAGCAGCTCCTGTCATTAGCAGAACTCTCTCATATCACTCCTGTCCTTCAGCAACTCCATTGGCTCCCAGTTCAATTTAGAAAACAATTGAAGAAAACTTATCAAAAAGAAACTCTTTTAATTTGCATTTAAAGACTGAAGCAGATCAGAACGATCGAGAGGCTTTTAGCAATGTGTGCAGAAAACTCTAAATGTTACGGAGAACAGAAACATGTTGAGGATGTGTGAGGTCTTAGCAATGACGTGCTTTATTAAATATTGCAGAGGTAGAAGGTAGTAAACTAGTAAACCTTTTACATTATTTATGAATAGCAGTTCATTTAAAATGGGCAAAATGTTTCTATATTTCTAAGTTGTTTAGAAATGCTCTTTTACTAAAGTATCTCTCTTCAGGTTAATTGCAAAAATAACTTAATTGATTAGTAATCAGAGGTGCAGCTCTATTATTGAGGGCTCCATCTTGTGTTCTTTGCATAAAATGGTCTCTTCCATTTTTCCTGCAAATATCAGCAATGACTTCACAGCCAAAGAGTAACTGTTGAATTTTGCTTCCTCTGACCAGAGAACATTGTTCCGCTTTGCATAGTCATCCTCTGTGCCTCCCTTTAGTTCACCTTAAAGTCGACCTTTTTGCACCAGTGCAAGATTTTTAAGGCTTCCTTCATTACAAAGTTAACGGACATCATTAACTTACAGTTCTCAGGGAGGCTGGTGAAGTATCTATGAGTGCAAAGTGATATAATGTAAACATTAAAATAAAGCAAGGACGTTAGAAAAAGCTGGTAATTCATCTGAAAGTGATTAAATTATTATAGGGGCTGATAAATGTGTTATTGATGAGGTTAACGTCAGACTAACAAACCAGTATCTTCCACCAACAGGATGTTCACTAGTCTGAGACAAACGCGTTGAGGGAGACCAAAAAGAAGAGAATTACGATAATCAAGATGGGGGGTGATAAGGCCGTGGATAAGGACAGAGGCAGTGCGCATAGTAAGGGAGGAACGGAGGCGGTTAATGTTGGGTAGGTGGAAGTATGCAGACTGGGTAATGTTATTTATGTGTGACTGAAAGGAGAGGGAGGAGACTCTTGACCTGAGGGGAGGGGGAGACCAAGGTGTTGTCAATGGGTAGTGACAAACATATATATATATATATATATATATATATAAATATATATATATATATATATATATATATATATTTAAGCTATATTTGCAACTCAAATATAGTTTGAAAAGAGCTACCTTCTTGGAAAGAATTTTTTTTAAATGCTTTTTAAAAGTTTCATTTCTGGATCTTTTTTAAATTCTGATTCTCATAATGTGTTCCTTGCTTGCAAAAATAATGGAATAAAATGACCTCATTGCTGCAGCTGTTCTGA